TGTGTGAATCCTCCTGTATATAGGCCGTACTTTATAAAACTTTAACTTATGTTAGGGCTAAGTTCGATAAAGAGATAAATTTACACTGTAATCTGTTATGTTTTTTGTTTTTTTACTTTAGTTTAGTTAGGACTGAACTTTACTGTACTTAATACTATCGATAAATAAACTTATAATGTTATTCTACGACCTAATGTCAAACCCTTTTTAAAACCTTTGATAAGTTTTTAATATTCTGTTATACAAAATGGTTAGTAAAGTATATTTATATTCCTCTTTTGTTGTTACTTATTGTTTCATACAGCAATTGTAGCGACTTGATCACTGAGCTTTGCAGCTCTTTGCTGCAGGCAGACCGTTTGTCTTCGAGTGACTTATGCGCATGCGCGGTTTTTCTTGAGGAAACATTCTAATTACGCATGTTTATGCAGCAGATTCTAGGTCAGAAAGTGTAATGGTCGTACATGCAAACAAGCAGAATACTAGTATAGATTTTATACCAACAATTTTTTGTTTGAAGTTAAGCACAAACCTTACAACAATGGGCTATCTGTGCTCTGCCCACAATGGGTATCGAAACCTGGTTTCTAGCGTTGTAAGTCCGCAAACATGCCGCTGTGCCACTGGGTAGTGGGGGCTTACAACAACTATATCAAGGTTTGCAATAGTACCGGCGGTATACTAGGTTGTCGGTACCGTACTCGAGCATCTCTAACCACGTGACTTGAGCAGTTAGAAATTCAACTATTCTTTCCAGTGTGTGCTCGTGGAAAAAAAGATTACATCAAACCAAATTGTCAGTTATCTGTAAGTCCACGTGATATGACAACTATGGCAATGAATCAGTTGAAATTTAGGCTTTCTATTGGTTATAGGTATAATGGGAGTCGGCTTTAGGAAAATCTATCAGCAAATTGTAAATTAGAGCATGTCAGAGGTAGGCGTGGAAAGTGGTCTCTGAATTTTCATTGATTGATCTTTAGCCCATAAGATTGAAGCATATACAAATATAGCTTCAGAATATGAATAATGAAATTATAGAGATTATTTTACGTTACATTTCGTAGTTTTCTAGGGGGGGGGGGTGGACAAAAAAAATCCAGAAGAGGAGACGGCTCAAGAACAAATATCCAAATTCTCACACTAGGGGAATTTGAGGTTGTTTTTAAATATTTCCGTATACAATTAAAACTTATATAATATTAAAATTTGATTTATTATCTATGGTTTGATATCAAGTTTGTTCGTATACCGTGCTAAATAAGTAGTTTAAATAAATTTTGAATGTAACTCACTAAAACGTCATGACATGCGCAGTTTGACCTGCCCGCATGCTAAAGGTTAATCACGCATGCACCATCCGAACGTGCAATCAGTCACATAGGTACATTCACGTTCTCTTCCAGAACGTGGGAGCCATCATTTTCCATATTTCATACTATTGCTGATTTTCGCGGTGAGATTCGTTTATCGACTGAATTATGAACTCAAAACTACCACATCAAACATTTATAATTCTGTGAAAAGCGAAGATGAAATATCAGAAGAGGCGTTTGGTCAAACTCTGAATATGGTATATGTGATAACAGATATTATTCTCAACATAGGATATACTATAAAGCAGTACTGGTATCGGTACGGTACCTACTGCAAACCCTGAGCTATATGCCATAAAGATATAAACCATATGAACCAGGTTCTTTTTGTCCACTAGATGGAGTCCTGGTATTATAATGTTAGCTCTTATACGACTAAAATTAAAAACTTATTCCTGTCCAATAGGTCACGAGACGCCCTCCAATGGTACAGCGGTACGTCTGCGGATTTATACTGCTAGAAACCGGGTTTCGATACCCGTGGTGGGCAGAACACAGATAGCCCTTTCTGTAGCTTTGTGCCCCCCAGTGGCACAGCGGTTTATCTGCGGACTTTCAACGCTAGAAACCGGGTTTCGATACCCGTGGTGGGCAGAGCACAGATAGTCCTTGTGTAGCTTTGTGCATAATTAAAACAAACAAACAAACTGTAGCTTTGTGTTTAATAACAAACAACAACAACAACAGATCACGAGACTTACTTTCTCAATATCAACGGCACTACGTTTTTCCCATTTGGTGGTTGTAGGCTTAATGATACTGATTGCGGGTCTCTCTTTTGTTTGAGTTTTTTCTCAGTCCTCCTCTATAGAGAATAGCTGCATTAGATTCCTTCGAGACATGGTAGTACACTTTGAATTCTGAGAGTGTTCAAAGATGAGTTCTTTCAACTGTTGAGTTGTGCTTCCAACATATGACCTTCTGCACTGGCAACAAAGACTAAAATAAATTTGAATTCTGTAGCTTGGAGATTTTGTCCTTGAAATTGAAAACATTTTTCATCCGATAACCACTTCTTGAAATAATACGAACAGAAAAAAAAATGTTCAAAAGATTCATCACCAATATAGTGTACACAAAAAGAAACAGCTAACTTTCTTTTCAACAATAAGTAACGCTACATCTTTAAATTTAGAATTCCTAAGTTTATCCAGTGTGAACTGAATTATGAAAGCATTAAAAGAACCTTTATAAAATTCATTTTTTGATAGAACACTCTTTACGTGGTCAAACTCAGAAAGCAAGTAATCAGTGTTACTAACAAGTTTAAAGAATCTTGTAACAAGGGTTACATTTAAATTATTTTTTAATTGAGTAGGCGCAACACCTTAAACATTAGAGTATAAATCTATGCTACAACACTTTAAAAATTAGAGTATAAACCAAGGCTACAACATTTTACAAATTAGAGCATAAACCAATGTTACAACACTATACAATTAGAGTATAAACTAATGGTACAACTTTTATGAAAGTAGATAAAAGAAATACATAGTTCAGACTTATGGATAAATACTTCTAGCAAAGAAACGTTGTAATGTTCGACCTTATATGTAAATATGATGTTTGAATGTTAGCTATTCAAATAATTAAGAAAGCTGGTAATCTTATCCATGTTTTTAAGCTCCAAATATGTTATAAACTTATCTAAAGCAATGTAAAGGCCCAAACTAGTGGACAGTCGCTAAGTATTTTAGTTTCCATATAACTAAGAAACAGGTTTGCTCATGTAAGTGCTATAGGTTGGCTCATCCCAGCTCCGTATGCCTGTACAACAATACTTCTATTAAATATGAAATTGCAATTCATAGGATAAATTCTAGTAGTTTATGGTAAACGTTCTTTAGTATGTTATTTACCATGTCTTTGTTTTTGCACAAGAGTTTTAAATCAATATAAATACTTTCAGTGAACTCTTTAATGGGACATTCGGTTTGTGAAGAGACATAAAAACCTGCTAAAACCCAATTATTATTGTACTTCATTTCTCTAACCTTGGAGAAGGTAAAGCTATTTCCAACTTTGAATTCAATAGAAGAAAATTCTCCAAGAATGGTGTTAAAAAAAGGTTTTTGAGTACATAACGGTTGGTATCAATACATGACACAATAGGTCTTAATGAATCTCCTGTTTATGTTTTTAGGTAGCCTATATGAAACAGTAGGATAAAAACTAACTGGTCGTTTTTTATAGGTTTTTCACTAATATAATCTACTTTTTATCGAAAACAAATATTTTGATAGTTTCCTTCGAGAATATAGATGAGACAATAATCTAATTTGTTTTCACCCGAAAGAATACTTGCCATTTTCCGGTAGAAATTAACAGATTGGACTCAGTGAAAAAACACACTAAACGGATTGGACTCAGTAAAAAAACCACACTAAACGGAACAAACTGTCAGAAGTCTGATATTAGAGAAACTAGTTTCGACACATTCGTGCGTCCTCAGTTTTTCCTGCTAGAATATAACGTGAGACTGAAGAGGACGCACGAATGTGTCG